TTTGATCGTGAGCCACACCCAAATCAGGTGGCTCAGTTGTCCAAAAGGCGAGGTTGAAGCGCTTGGCGAAGGGGAGCTGTGAAGCGCGCAATCCTTGATCCACCAGGTGGCAAGGACTGCTTCATAGTTTGATGTGTGCTATGGAATTTCGCGGAGTGCTGAGGGGCCGCAAGTATGTCATGTCAACCTCAACTGGATCACCTGGGCTCGATGTTTGAAATGGATCGACTACCAATGAGCTGAGCCATGTTTGATTTGCTTGGTGAGCTATTTGTCCTGCAGAGTTGAAAGAATGTCTCTCTTCTATCGGGTTAATGTGGCTCCCACCGGAAATTCGTTGCAAAGCGCCCAATATTTTGGCTTCCACCTTTTGTTGTTGACCCTATGAGCAAAACAACAGCAAGCCACAAGGGGAAATAGATCTGTCACGCGGAGAGCGGAAGGGCGAGAGAGAAACTCGCCCGAGCAACGCAGCCTGGTCCGACAGCCTTGTCCGACTGTCCGGGACTCTCAAAGAACAGAGCTTGAACGGCGCAAAAAACGATGGCCCGTGATTGAAGCGGCCTTTAAGACAAATGAAAAGGCTTGAGGCAAGGGCTCTGGTGCGATTCAATTCATATTGAAATTTGCAGCATTGTTGCAGTGCACAAGTTGGGCCAGATTCTAGAAGGTTCAGATGCGAAAGCAACACCCATCCGGGAAACTGCCGGTTTCCTTACATATCCATTATACCAAAGTGCTCAGAGGAAAAATGTTCAAAGGGTGCTACATGGCCACCACAAGCACTCAATAGTAGGGCACCCAATTGTGTAACGGTCTCTCTGCTTGTGCCCTACAGCAATTCCCATCTCTCTCCTTTTCAACAAGTTGTTTTCTTCTGAGCACAAAGACGAGCAGATGATGTCAGCAAGCGAGACCCATCCCCCAAACTGCCGATGACGTTAATAAAGTGCTCAGCCGACCAAATTCCAAGGGGATAGTTCATGGCCACTCCAAAATTCTCAATAAGAACAAGGGGTACCCGATTGATTGTTTAGCCGTGCTTCAGGCCAAACAAAAGAACTGCTAAACCAATACTGAAAATGCAAAAAGAACAAAATCCCTGGAGAACATTCCATATTCCTGGTGGAAGCAAATGCAGAACGCAGAAACATTCAGGATGGCAGCTAGCTGTTGCTTGGTCAAGGACGATGGGAACGACAACGGCGCCGTTCTTTTGATTCTTCACATGACGTGATCTTGTGGAAGCCGACGCGTGCACGAAGCACCTGCACGTTGCTGATCTTGGAAGCTGAAGGAACTGAAGTTGACAGCTCACCTCCAATGCGGGTTACTGATGAATAAACGCCCCCCCCCCCAAACAAACTTGGAGACTCAATAGATAAAACCGGTAAACAATAGGGGTCAGATTGGGCTTGCCGAAGTTTAGTACTGGCTTAGTATTGGTTTGGTATTGCGGTCCTCTCCTGTCCTCTCTGCCCAGTGCTGGTCTGAATTCGGTTGAGTGAAGACTCGGTTCAGTGCTGCTGAAGGTATTGCTTTGTGCTGGCTTAGTACGGCTTTGCCCTACTAGCTTAGTATTGGTTTGTCGGCCAGCCGTGTGCTTGCCGATAAGACCCGATCAGAGGCCGCTCGCTCGAGGTCGGCGACTGCCTGGGAAGTCGCGATTGGCTGGAACCCACCGGAGAAGAACAACGTGGACATCATGAGATACGACGCCCTGCCACGGTTTCAAAAAAACAAACCTTACTCACTTCCTGAGTTCATGGACTGTAAACTTTTTGGGAAGATCGCTTTAGTGGCGAACACACAGCTTGGGAAAAATCGTCGGGGGAGGCGCAGCTGGCTTGATTCAATGAGTACCCCAAGGGTGGCCACCGTGGGCGGGAGGGCGGGCGGGTGTGTGGGTGGGTTGGAGGGCGCGTGTGCGATTCCACTTCTGGATGCTGAAGAAGCCATGTTGTTTTAAATTATTTCGAACTCACAAAGCACCAGAAGGGAATAGAAGCTATACAGGGCTATACAGGCTATACATGAGTGAGTTTGGTTCAGGCCTCCTGTTTAACACTTTTGCTCCAGGCCAGTGATTTGTTGCATCGCTGCCAATCGCTGCACTTGATGTAGATGTCAACGTGGAATGGAAAGTTTCGCACAGTTCAGAAGGTTCCACTAGTCAACTCCATACACACATTGAGCGGTTTGCATCTTTGATCGAAGACGACTGAACATTGTGCGGATGTGCCGCAATTCATTAAGCAGTAGCATATTGCCTTTGTGGGGAGGGGGGGTTGTTCTGCTTAGTGAATTTGCAGACAGCCGCTCATGCCATGAACTGTGCCAGGACATCATTGGTGGACCTAACGAGCGCTTGCTGCGCTGGTGCCAGGCTCGAAGTGACGCGAGTTGCTGCTTGAGCATTGCTTTCCCTGACATTTGACGGGCGGGCAAGATTAAACATGTATTCAAGAGTGACTTGACTCCGCAGGGAGTAGACGCCCAGGAGCTCCGTGTGTGTAGATGCTAGCTTACCGCTGGTTCACCTGCATGTAGATAAATTTCAGGGTGCTGGGTCCCTAAAAGTGAACGTGCTGAGGGACTTCAAATGACTTTCAGGGGTTGAGTTTCCTTTTCAACGTTATTTAGAGGGTAATTTTGAGGATGTCACTCAAGGGACCCCGGAGTATTTGGCAGCCCACGCAGCTGTTTTTCCATTTGGACATGGCATCTTCGCGCAGTTCGCGTGCCGACTGATGGACGCCACAGAGGATGCAGACAAACTGTTCGGCTGGAGCCTTGGGACCTTGGGAACACGAGCGCAGGTGGTTGGGTGCCGACCTGGTTTCAGCCCTCCCCACCTTTTTGGGGCCCGAAAATGGGGGTTTCAGACGTCCTCCCTCCTCCCCCTCCCCCCCTGACTGGGTGGGGATGTTTCAGAGGGCTAGAGAGAGTAAGGCCCTGAAAACCCTGAGGCATAGAACCAAAAGCCAGTGGCTCTTGAGCGCGGATCATCTTCATTCGCTGGCCATCCGGATGCCTTTGTGCATCTCTTGGCTGCAGGTATTGCATTGCAGGTGTTGTTCTACCCCTTACACCCAATACCCACTATTTTTTTAGGGTATCATGTCGACCCTCTACTAAAAAAGGAGGTATTTATTATGGAAAACCAGGTTTTCCAAAAAATGCCCTAAAACAAGTGGGTATTTGGAGTAGGGGGTACACTGAATCGCAAGCAGCGGGGCCTTTGGATCCCAAGCATCATGTTAAACGAAGCCGCGAAGCGATACGGAAGCCAGTGGCCTGGAGGTGCAGGGTCTTCAAAGCGGCCGCATGTTGCAGAATGAATGCAGGAACAACGCATGCTCTGTTGCGTATCTAAACAGTCGGAGATTAGAAAGTGAGCAGGGGATGGTTTCACAAGCAAATGAGGGCAATTGGAGATTTCCAAGCACAGGCAAATGAAGAATGAGTTGCATGTCATGTGCTGCACATGTTGTTTGTTGCCAGAGCTCTATTCGTGTGAGTTCGGTGTTTCCTGAACCATAACCAAAAAAGGCTCCCTTAAACGAAGGCACCCTCTTCCGATGGGAAGCCATGGGAATGTTGTACAGTGTTTTGCTGATTGGTGACAGTTTGAACTCCACAGGTGCCATAAGTTGGAGGTTATTTTCCTGTGGACTTTGGAACTAGTGAGCAAATTCTCGAAAGCTTGAGATTTCAACCCATGATGAGCAATCAATGTTATGAATCGTCATGTTGTTCAAGACTGCTAGTTACTTGAGCATCCCTGATTGTCATCAAGGTTCCTTTGTACCTTTAGCAGGCAGTCGTGGATTTCGCATGCGGAGAAACGGAAGCAAGGTTTATGACCCTCAGGGTGGTCGCGGAGATTTGGGACTCCCCAGTACCATTTTGGACCGCAAAGTTCGCGAGTTGCGTCGGGCCCAGGTTACGCCGTCAAGGAAGGTGCAGAGCCCTTTGCTCAGCTCGCATTCGTTCGGGTTCCTCAGGTACTGTATGTTTGTGATGCGTTGTCTAAAGCCGACCTTTTGACCTTATGACTTTTCAGCTTTAGTAAAAGGTCCCAAAAGGTAAGCTTTTGCTTCTATGTCATTTGGGCATTTGGGCAAGGGAGACACAGATGGGTATGAACGGCTTTGTTGTGGCTCCTGTGTCCGAAGGGCCAAATTCGCGGAGTGCCGCTCCATTGCTGAAGCGGGCTGCACAGAGCGTCATAACTTGCTCGGTGGCAAGTACATAGGCATGGCATACCGGACGTATGCACTCGGACGCCAGTTTGCCAGCATCAAGACAGTTGCGTTTTGGAACTGCACAACCTACTTTGATATCTACATGAAGGTTCAGTTTAAATCGATCATTTGTTGCCAGGCAATTGCGCCCACACACGTGAAACGCGGTCCACTATTCATTCAGCGTTGACACTCACAATGCCAGCAATTCATGCCCATTGTGACTTCATTGCATGAATTACCCGTACATCTCCGTCACGTGCATGCGACCCAATACATATATATATATATATATATATATATTATGTATATATATATATGCTTCATTTACATGATCATGAAATGATCAGACACTTTGTGAAACTGACGCAGCTTGCACGTGTTGGTGTGTGTTATTGTCGTGTTGAGTTGTTTTGGTGATTTATTTGTGTGTTTGCTTACGTATTCCTTCCCTTTCCTTTCCTTTCCCTTCCTTCTTTCCCTTTGCTTGCTTGCTGTTCCCTACAAAGGAATTTGCTTCACGGGCCCTGCGCACCGCTTTATGAGGGAGAGCAGGCGGCAGCAAGGGCAACAGGGGGGACACAAGGGCAGCCAACAGGCACGATTGGATGTGGATGTGACGTTCATTCTATGGAATCAGGGGCTTGAAGCCGCATATGCCGAAAATCAGGGGCTTGAAGCCGCATATGCCGAAAATCAGGGGCTTGAAGTCGCATATCAGAAATCAAGAACCCTTCCGAATGCTTTCTTCAAACGAATGCTTGCTTCAAAACCCAAGCCGCATCCCTTAGTTCAGGTATCCATAAATTGGTGCTTTGGGTGGCAAAGGCCTGGGCTTGGGGGTAGGGAAGACGTGGCGATCGGCGATGACGCCTTGGGCGACATCTATGGCGAGGACAGAAACGGGGACAATGTCTTCTGGGGTATTGTTGAGGTTATCTCTTTTGGGGTGGGCTTCAAGGGCAACCCGGAGAAAACTTGTCATTGTTTTTGGCGTTCCCTTCTTTTAGACACGCCCAAATAGTGCGACTTGGTTGCCATCCGCAGTTGCCACCCTGACTTCCCTTGACCGTTCCAGCTGCACTAGCACAGAGCTGGGCTTTTTGACCTCTGACTTTCTAAAGCTTGGTATATCTGGTAGGGAACACTATCCCCGGCCTCAAAGGCATTGACACTGAGCCCTGCCCCCTTCAGGAGCAGTGGTTGACCAACTGGCTGACATGCAAAGGGCCCTTTACACGGGATGACCATGGGTTAGACCTGGAATCAAATCAGTATGGGCAAGTGGTTCAGCGGGAAAGAAAAAAGGGATGAAAAACAGGAGATCCTCCCTTCCACTCACATGGCACCGGAATGATATTTAGGAAAAATTAACCTTCCAGGGGGCAGGTGCTTTTGGACAGTTCTGATCGCTGGGATTCTTGAGCTGGAGTTTTGCAGCATGTGGTGAAGCAGTCTTTGGCATCCTTATCAAGCATTGGGCCTGGGTAAACAAAAAGGCCTAAAAAGATTGAATGGATGCTAACTTGCTTCTATGATCATATTATATTGATGTAGGTCCTTGTAGTACAGGTGTTTACTCATTGCGCCAAACGTAAAGCATGAGGGCATGCGTACCTTTGCATGTCTTGCGGTTGTTGCCAACCAAGGGTGTGCCCCTGCATCGGCGATGCTCTGCCGAGCAGTGGGCTGGTGTTTTCACAAAAGCTGAGAACCGCCTTCTTTCAGCAAGCAAAAGTAAACCAGCCACCAGGTCAGATGTCTAACCCGATTCTATCTACCTGGGGTTCATTCGGTATGGCGTATTCTCATTCTACGTTGCGCATTAGGCGTGGCGTGTTCTTGGAGTGTGTGAGCGTGTGTGTGTGTGTGTGTGCCTGGCATGAAGTCTTTCGCGAGAAACTCGGACCAAAATGGGCCAACAGCCAATCGATCCTTTGCCGACGCGGCAGGTTCCTCAATGTCTTACACCTACCTACCTTCCAACATTCCAAACATAGCTTATTGTCTTGTTACCGCTTGGCATGAAGCATAACTAATCTGGAATCTGTCTCCTAGAATAAATGTGCAGCTGAATCTGAAGAAATACTTTCTGTATGTCAGAGATACGGGCCTTTCCCAAAGTCATGCCTGCGCCGCATGCAGGAATGCATGTACATGCCGGTCGCTGCCCCCAAGCAGAAATGCAGCCTCTCCAGGTTACTTCCAGGCTGGGGCATCCTTGCAAAAGCAGAGAGCTTGCCTGGGTGCTAGACAGCTCACATTCCAAGTGGGTATGGGTCAAAATGAAACCACCAGGGGTTTTAGTCCTTGGTTCCATTTATCAGGGTTTTATTTTGGGTACCTATTTTTGACCCACAGTCGTACAGCTCACATGTCAAGTGCCGTTTGAGTCACAGAGCGCGACCCCCAGCGGGCAATGGCTCAAAGATCAGGCGGTCAGAATGCTCGAAGATCAAAATCCGGATGGAATTGCGCCTGCTGTTTAAGCAACCCCCCGAAGGGTAGGACTTAGCTTGCCGTTCGTGTGGGTTCTCACGAAACTGGGCAACTGCCAAAATATTTGTTGAAACAGGAGTGACCTGTGGTACAGTCTCTGACCAAACTCGAACTTCATCAGCCCTCGCTCGCTTGGTTTCCATGTGAGGGCACAACATGTATTGCCACCATGGCACTGGGCAGAAACCATGCTATTGAGCTCGCATGCGCTACCCTACCGACACTCTCTGCAAAGGGCAACACGCGGCCCTGAACGGCATCCAGGATAGAAAAGACACGCGCGCACACGAGCACGACCGCAAACTGCCAAATGGCACGATGCTGGATACTGGGATGGCCCAGGGTCCCATTTTAAACTGCATGCCACACTCCAACACACTAGAGCTCTCGGGGATGCAAGACTCTGCAAAAGCAGCTCGTCGGTGCGAGTCGGTGGTAAGTCGCGCATCGGGAGTGTTCCTCACTGGGACTTTTGAGCTCTGGGCAACGCCCTGAGAGGTTCTGCCCGGAAACGGGTGCCAAACAGCCAATGCTTGTTCCTGCAAGAACAACGTGAGGACGGGTGGCTCTCTTTGTTGGAGCCTCCGTCGATCACCGCGCCTCGTATTTGGCTTCTCTTCATACATGCATGCATAGATGGATACATGCACAGAACCATAGATAGATAGTCATAGATAATCATAGAGAATCAGAGATATTCAAAGATTGTCCAATGCAACCCAGGTCAGGACTATTACTTCATCGTGCGGGCGGTGGCCAGCTCCGGGAAGGGCGAGTTCTCGAAGGCGGTTCGGAGTTGGTGGCGTGCAGGTTACCTTGAATTGGCAGTTTGGATTGGTGGTTCGGGGGTTGAACGGGTTGAACCCCTGTTTCTTGTTGAGAGTTAGTTACAAAGATCTGCGGGGTGCGCATGCAAGCGGTCAGCTTCCCTTGTTGGTTTTTGTGCCTTGGGTTGTGAGCTCCAGTTTTCCCTTCGTTACCAGATGCTAGGGGTTATGTTTGTTTAATCTTTGTTTGGGTTTCCTCCACGTCCTCCGGAAACTGCGGCCACCCTTGACCTGCTAGAGGGATTGCTGCGTTTTTCTGCTTTCAGGCTTTCGCCCGTCCGCTCTTCCCGAACTTCGTGTTTTGTTGTTGTTTGTTGTTGTTCTACTTGTTTTTCCCGTTCTATTGAAAGAAGCCAACATAAATATGATGTCTGCAAAGGGTAAAGCACGAACTAGGGATCGTGTTGGGTTTGGTTTCACTCGAAAGCCAGCATGGCCCCGGCCATGTTAGGCTCTTGAGTTTACTCCCTGCCAATCATCTGAGTCCTCTAACTATGGCCTTTCAATCAGCCGGATACTCAACGTCTGCTTCCGGGTTTTTGCTTTGCCTTTCTACCCAGGGGCAACCCTTTGTCCATTTCATCTGCTTCAACAATCCATCTAGATCCATGGTCCTTGCCTGGCCCTTGATTTGTCAACCAGACACCCAGATTTCAAAGTGTTCTCCAAATAGTGTTCCATATTTCCACGTTCCACCATATTCCAAAAATAATCTCCCAGTGCCGCCCATATTTTGCCATGTCCTTGAGCTTTGCTGCAACCCCTTGCCAGTTGATCAGCGCCCAACACCCCACTTGGCAGCTTTTTGTTACCTGGTTGCATCGGGGTTATCACATTTCCAGGCCTCAACCTCCAGCCATCTTACCAGAGCTCCAGCCAACCCGCGGAGGTGCTGGGCCCTTGCACCACTGAGAAGGAAAGCCCGCAAAAAGCGCAGGCCCTCGAGGCGAAGCCGCGGCTCGACGTTGGTTTCCTAAGCCCTCTTTTTGTTCAATCCTTGTTTAAAAATATAAGAACTACGTAGATGTGTTTGCAGCGAGAAAAACAAACTGCGAGCTCTCAACACCAGGGGAGAAAACGGGGGTTGCATAGGCAAAAAGAATTGAAGACATGAGTGTATACATCTATGTCTATATATATATATGTGTGTGTGTGTGTGCATGTGTGAATGCCTTCTCCTTTGGGTCAAAAATTTGGAACGAATGACTTAGGATTAATCCGGACCCATCGTTGGAGAAAAGTCCCCTGGAAATGCCGAAGGCCCTCGCCAAGCATTCCCGTTCTGCTTGGTATGGTCTTTCAGATTGATCTGAAGTTGGCGTTTGTGTGAACCCAATTCGATTGAAAAGCCCCCTGGTTGATCTTGGGAGAGCCCATTTGATAGTGGGAGTGGGAATTATTTTGTCGGTCTGACAGGAGGGTTATGGAGGGTTAGTCTGGCGTCGAAAGTAATCAGTCTCCAAAACCCGGGGGGGTCCCTTCTAAATCGGAAGAGCCCAGTTGAACCCAAAGGCAGGTTTGAGTTCTTAAAATCTATTACTTCAAAGTGACTGTTTTGTGCGCATGACTTTTTTCCCCACCAAAAGTGATTACAGAACCAATCTGGACACCTCAGAACTGGGGAGAAGCAATTACATTTTTCGCAGGGGTTGATGTTTTGTTGGGGGTTAGGAGCGGATTGAGGCCTTGGATATTTCCCTACCAAGGTCCGAGATGGGGTCTATTGGGGACGGCCATGTTTCACACAGCTCGACAGCTCATGGTGTGGCACAAGCTCAGTTTGCCGTGAGCAAATCTCGCCAGAAAGCCCCCAGTCTGGATGGCCCAAATGCGCCCTTTGGTTTTTTGCGGTCCTGTCACATCCTTGTATGGTGAGAAATGTGCAAGGCAAAGCATACAAGAGAATTCATGTTTCATAGCATGGCCTAACTCTGGAAGGTACGCTCCCAGCAATTAACATAGCTCATGGAGGGCGCAGGTCCTTTTTCCTTTTCGATCTACCAGCGGGTCCAAACCTTGGTCGCTCATTTGGTAAGGGCCAACAATTAGAATAGGAGTTGGATTAGGATAGGAGTTGGGTTGTGTTGGTGGGGGGGAGCAAGTCAAGGTGATTATTTGGCTCTCAAGCGTGCTGGCAGATTTTGGGTTGAACACACTTGGTGGGGAGATACTTGAAGGGAACCATTGGAAAGGTGACGGGTTTCAATCGGGGACCGTGTTGTTTTGGGCGACATCTGGGACAGTTGCTTGTGGAATGCCAGCTCCACGACATTGAGCTCTACACCTGCAGCACGCGCTTGAGGTGGGCAGGGCAAAAAAAAGCGCCAATTGTTTTCATGGTTTTCTCTCGGGAAGGAGGTCCCGCAATTGTTTTTTCAGTTTGTTTTTTTCTCAGGAAGGAGGTCCCGCAATTGGTAAAACATTTTCAGGCTAGTCGGTGCACCCGCGTCAATCGGTGCACCTTGCTTTCCTGTGTGGCTTGTGTTTCCCCAACTTGGTTTAAGCTGGTTGTTTTTGCATATGCCCTTAATTAACCTTTGCCTTGTTCCCGAAAACAGTCATGCATTTCCGCGGAACATTGACATTCATGGGTGATTCCCTAATGCCTGGAGGAATCCCGGGGGCAAGAGATGTCTTCCAAGAGAATCTTTGGGGAGCGGCATTTACTTCCTTTCCAATTTGGCCGCCGCCCAAGCAGGTTGGAAGTTGTCCACTGAAGCTATGGGTATAAACTCTATTGTTTCCAACATAAACCCCACACCCAAGGACAAATTCTTAACAATGATCCGCAATCAACCCAAGATTCGCAGGGAGGCATAAAACACAATCATCGGAATTAAGGTCTTGCAGTTTGGCATTTTCATCGGAAAACACAACTGATCAGAAGGCAACGCAAACACCTGATTTGTGATGAATCCAGGATAGGATTCATCGGACCTGTTCACTATACGGCGAGGTGGTTCAGGACATCACTCTGCCAGAAAGGGGCATCTGTGGCTGAGGCCCCTACTTTGTGATGAATCAGGGGTGGGATTCAGCGGAAACCAGGGTTTGTTTTCACGAACCGTTTCTTGATGGATTTTAAGTTCCGGTAGGGGTACTTTGTGATGAATGCTGTTCCACTGTTTCTGTTTCTGGCATCAACACGTGATTTCTGATGGATCAGGGGTAGGATCCGTCGGAAAATCAAGCTTGCTCCCAGAAGCGGAAGAAAATCAAAGGAAACCGCGGATTACTGACAGAATTCAAGGCAGCCATCGGGCGTCTACGGAGCAATGTTTGCTGATAAAACGCGCAGTTTCCTTTACATATACTTGTCCCTTAGATTCAAGATGGGAAATCCCAAGGAACGTTACATGTTCGGCGGAAAAACGTGACCGTCTTCGGGAACAAACCAAAGGTCAAGGGCGTACACGCAAAACAAGCAGGTCAAACCAAGTCGGGGAAGCACAAGCCACACTGGACGAAAGGTGCACATATTCAAACTGGTGCACCGATTAGCCTGAAAATGTTTTTGGTGTTTCTTGTTTTTTTCTCAGAAAGGAGGTCCCGCATTTTTTTTTATTTTTATTTTTTATCAGGAAGGAGGCCCCGCAATTGTTTTTTCTTGTTTGTTTTCTCTCAGGAAGGAGGTCCCCCAACTGTTTTTTTTCTGTTTTTTCTCTCAGGAAGGAGGTCCCGCAATTGTTGTTTTCTTTGTTTTTTCCTTTTTTTCTCAGGAATGAGGTCCCGCAATTCTGTTTTCTTGTTTTTGTTTTCCTCTGAGAAAGGAGGTCCCGCAATTGTTTTTTCTTGTTTTTTCTCTCAGGAAGGAGGCCCCGCAATTGTTGTTCTCTTGTTTTTTCTCTCAGGAAGGAGGTCCCACAATTGTTTTTTCTGGTTGTTTTCTCTCAGTGTTTTTTCTCTCAGGAAGGAGGTCCCGCAATGGTTGTTTCTTGGAGGTCCCGCAATTGTTTTTTCAGAAAAAAAACCGACGGGATGGTTTTTTGGGTGGTCCAGGTTAGTTTGCATCAGTGTAACCCTGAAAGGAGTTGAAAGGAATTGAACTGGGACAGGTGGCAGGAAGCCGATGGTTTACGGGAGTGCTGCTTGTTCATTCAGTTCGACAGGGCGGGGAGAGGTTCCTCGCTGAAGAAGAGGTAAAGATTAAGATCTGCCTGAACATGTTGCAGCATACGGCAATCAGGGAAACCAGAACGTAGGTGACCAATCTTCCCAAATCAATGTTCCCAACCCCAACTTTGTAAGTGGTGAAGCATGGCGTTGGTTTGCATATTTGAGCGAGTTGTAAGTGACGATATTGCGCGTGCACAAAAAGCTTGACAATTTCACACAAGATAGGCCAGGTCTCCAGAATTGGGAGGGATGTCGATTCTGGCCAAGCTCCTGCACAGCTTTTTTGTTGGCCGATTGCTTTATCATCGGAAATGCGGCCTCAGGTCGAGCTGTGTTGAGCAGAAACTCCTTCTGAAGTAGCGCATACATGTTGACAATCGATGTGTTGAGCTCAAATGTTGCAGGCGTACGCGGAAAACAAATCAAAAGCTTGCAGCTTGCAGCTCACATGAGACGGCCCCATTCTTGAAATGCCACCCTTCCTGCCGCCCAGCTCATGTTTTTCACCCCCTCCTTGGGTCGGCGCGTGTTTTGTCACGAAGCATGCCGCGGGTTGCCCGCGGATTTTTCTTCGGCTGCGATTCCCCGTTGCATAAAAAGCCCTGAAAAGTCTCAAGAAGTCACCGCTGTCCCCGCGTCCGCCCCGCAGAAACTCCGCTCTTTCCATGCTAGAAGCCTTTAGTGTGGAGCCGCTTTGCTTGACTCTTTGTTTTTCGTGAGGCATATTTGGCTACCAACCCTTGTTTCCTTGAAAACAAGAAAGCAACATAAACCAGGAACACCTTCATTTCAGCTGCTATCTCGCCCTGCTACTGCCCTTCAAGCCCACCAACCCCCCTGCCCCCCTTATTTGTGCGCAGAAACAATCCACTCCGAGCTTTTGCAGCAGCGTTAGACTGTGCTAGACCCAAATATTGAAACACCAGGGGGCTTTCTGAATGTCCAATGTCCAGAAGGAAGGATGACGGCAAGTTGTGTCCGTGGCTGCATGAATGTAAAGTTTAGACAAAGGTCCGTTGTCCAACAACTGTAGAAGCACGGGCATGTTTCCAAGAGAGCGTTTTTGGCAGTTGTCCACGTGGATTATCAACAACACCTGCACCAAAAACCTTCCATCCTTGGCTTCCCGTTAAAGCTGGCTGAACCGAGGATGGATTGGGCAAGCATGTGCCTGTCTCTTTGCTTGGCTTCCAGCTATTGAAATGGGGCGCTCGCACATCTCGTTTGCCAAGCTCCCGGGTGAGATCGGCGATCCTCAGGTTCCTGGGCCATCTTGTAGGAAGAGCTTTACTTGAAAATCAGGTAGCGCATGCAGGACGCCCATGTCTCCCAAAGCCACTACGCAAATTTCTGCGCCAGAAAGATAATATTTATATCGGCCGAGCCTCTCCCTATCCCTTCCATCCCCGGAATGGTGGGGCTGGGAGTTTGGGGTTAGGGTTGGCACGTACCCCTTGGCTTCTTTAGCTCGAGCCGGACATCGAGCGGCCCGATTCGGTTCGGCCAGGCTGCCCTTCAACTACGGGTCACCGATCACCGAAGTTCACACGGTGCGACTTGCCTTGCCTTGTTGGGCTGGTAGGGAAGGGAGCCAATGATGAAACCATGATCTTGCTTGCTTATGTTTCCTTGAAGGAAATCCCCTGTTGAATCCCTTGTGTAACAGCAAGTTCGAATACCCCCGGGGTGAGTAGGTCCATGCAACTAGGGCCCTTGTTTGGGTGGGTCAAAAACCACCTTGATGCAGTATCCGTTTGGAAAGGTAATGTTTACAGGGGGCATAGAAGGATCTTATTTTTCACCAAGCGGGAGGTTGCTTTTGGGGTGCCATGGCGTCAAAAGCGCAGGGTTCAACATCACAGGCCAATGAGAAGTGTGATGAGTGCTTAAGTCATGCATTGACAGCTTGTGGTGCTGCTTATCAGACATACCGGTAGGGAAGGGCTCAATGACCTCGGATATTTTGTTCCCTGCACCTGTCAAAGAGAATCACGTGAGTTTCATTCAATGAAGGTAGACCTTCAAAATGTGAGGAGAGCCAGGATCATGTCTGGGAGCGTTGTCAGTGCAGGTCAGGAGCCTTTGTGTGGACACATTGCGGGAGGGCGGAAGTAGGGATCCCTTCCAAAGCTTGGCGAGGGTGAATCGCAAGGGACCTTCTCCCCCCAGATAAAAGTAGGGGGTCCACCAGGACGAAACAGTGGAGTTCAGAATTGGAGTTGGGCCGGTCCAAGCCGTATTCTGTAACTGCTCTGTAGTATTGGGTTAGTCCTGGCTTAGTGTTGCTTCAGTATTTATTGTGCATTGCTTTAGTTTTGGTGAATTGCGTTGTGCTGATGTGCTGTTCAGATTGCTTCTAGCGTTGGATGTGAAGGGACTGGGCCGCTAGGGTTTGGGCCGGAGGGTCGTCGCGGAGTCGTTCTTCGAACAAAACACTGAGTCTGCGTATTTTGGCTTTTTTAAGGTCTGGGAATAGTCTGGCTGGTGCTCAGCAGGGAATGAGGGAATGACGCCTATAAACCATACCTTGTGGTTCCTTTAAGGGGACCTCCGCATTCATTCCCAACAACCTGGGTCATTCCTACTGAGCATCAGCAAGTAAATGTCTTGTGGGTAACGTGGCTGCAGAACCCAACCCCCCTACCCCCAACGCCCTGTACTAGTTGTCAGGCGCTAAGGTTTTAAAATGACAGCTTAGAGCATAGTTGACATATCAATCGGCGCGGGTGAATCGGAAGGTGCATGCATTAGTTGTTTGACCTGTCGCATTTCTAGCGTTGGTCCATCTTGTGTCAGGTGAACCTGTCGCGTGACTTCATTGTCAGCCCTGTTCGGACGATTTGAGCGACTTTCACCAAGCCTTGAAACCGCCAGGGGGCAGGTACTCGGCTTCCGGCACAAGAGACGAATCGCGTTTGCACCCAACCTTCAGTCGCTTTTCTTCTGGCTTCCCTTCCAGCCATGGCCAGTGATACCTCGAGCTGCTCCCAAGCGGCGATACGATTCGGCGATTAGAGGGACGCCTCCCTTGGGCGTCGACGGCAGGTCCTGCGGCGCCTCGATGGCCCGCTGGCACTGGAGGAGATGGATGAGGAAGGCCAGGTGCACGCCGGACGCCCCGGATCGACGCACAGACAGATCAGACAGAGGTTGTTATTTGTCTTATCGTTCTTGGCACACCAATGAACATGGAACCTGACGTTCGGGGGTTCCTGGAGGATCATTTCCTTTTATAAAAGGACCGGGTCCCGAACGTCAGGCTCATGTTCATTGGGAGGGCAACCCCCTCCAGATAAATCAGTCAGTCCTTGGTGGAGAGCATAGACGCATGTTCGCCGGTTTCTGTCGGGTTCGTCGCGTTGTTTGGGATCCGACCTTCGGGGCATGTTGATTGATTGGCAGCGGGGGAGGAATCGATCAGAAGCCCAGAACCTCCAAGCTGCCAGCTTCAAGCTGACCCCCCGAAAAGCAGATCCGGATCCCAACACTTCATCTCTCTGCCGTTCCAAAGCGAAGCCAGGCTTGGTTTGGGATCCCAAGTGGATGAGAGGCGTGGTCAAAACGAAGCCCACTCGCGGCTTCTTGTGGCGCGGAAGGCCTGCAGCCGGCGCTCGTTTGTTTGAGCCGCCCGCGCTGCCTCACCAGGAGGCAGACAAAAAAGGAAACTGAGCCTACCACATCACCTGGAGATCGACCAGAGGATTTGGTTCACGAGTTCTCACATTTGGCTCACTTTGCGTGGAGTCATGCAGAGCTCGCGCGGGTCTCCGCATCCATTTCTGAGGCTCATGTGGCAGGACAAGAACACACAGCAGCGGGCCCAGAAGGGAGGGAGGTCGTAAGCAGTGCGCTAAATGTTCCGGCCTGGAAATGTTTGTTGGGACCAGTCCCCTTGTCCGGGGCCACAGGCATGAATTGGGGCTTGAACAAGAAACCGCTCACATGTTTTGCTTTGGCTCGCTCAGAGCGTTGCAGTTGAACATAGGTTGGCAAAAAGCGAAGATTGGGAGCTGGGGGAGCAATGTTCATCCTTGGAGTAATATTCTCAGCCAAGGTGGACAAAGTGGACTAGGTCAACATTGAGTGCGCAACACATTGACTTCTTTAAATAGTGTGGGAATTATGTTTTGCAGTGATTTGAGTGTTCATGTGAATTGCACTGCTGGAGCTTCCTTTTTGCGATTTCAGGAAATCATGGCCTCAAATGACAATCAGATGCAGTCGCAGGAGCAAACACGATGGCTGCTGCTACCTCCCCCTTTCCGGGGTCTGGGATGGTGTGGGGGCAACTTAATTTGGGGGGTTGAAAATCATAAGTAAAAAGAGCAGCGTTGGGCTCTCCAGGCGGCCCGAACAAAGAGATATTTTGGATCCCAAGCTAACATTGGAACTGGGGTCTATCTCGCCCTTTGCAACTAGTAGTAGAGGACGACAGCCATTTTGAACTGTTTGTCAAGAGGATATGTTGATATCCTCTTTGGTACTGGTGAGGGGGTTGGAGAGATGAGAGTAAGCCTGCGGAACAAGACATGTCACATGTTCTCGCTTGCTGTTTTTTTGAGCCAACGTGGGGTTCATTAAACAAAATCATCCACTCTCCGAATGGTGGCTTGAAGGGAAGCCACTCCCAACAGCAAGTTTGGAGAACCCCCTCCAAATCCCAGTTGCCCAGTGGTGCCCTTTTGTCCTTCTTTTTGGGAAGGGTTCCCCTTTCAAGTCAACCAACCAAACAAGGATGCCCTTTGTTTCCCTGGCCACTGGGCATCTGAGAAAGTAAACCACTCCAAGAGGCCCAGTCCGACACCCAAAGCGAGCGCCGGGTTGCTCGCTGCGCGCTGGCCATGGAGTCGCCCGTGGCGGTCGGCCGCGGGGGGCTGCTTTGGCGGGCGGCCAGGCCCGGTGCCGCCGGAAGGTCAAAGGTTGTCTCAAAATAGGTGCAAGGTAGGTAATAACATTTTTTTGACCCAAGAATGGATTCCTGTCGGGAATCCACAAAACCGGTTCATTCAACCAACACCCGGTCTCGGTCATTCCCTGAGCACCAGCAAGTTGTTTGATCACATCCCGAGATGACTCTGCATGAATTGCCAACAACTCAGCAGTCCCCCCCCCCACGCAGTTCACCCCCCCCTTGGTGCGGGAAAGGGGTGTTTCAACTTATAGAGTTATGGGATGCAAATGCGGGGGTTGAACATGGTTTCAACGAAGAGTTGGCCCAACCCTTCTTCTCTCTATCCGGAATATATGGTTTTCAAAAATTCACCAGATCCAGCCTGATGAAGGTTTCCCTTTTTGGCAGCGGTTTTTTGTCTTCCCAACACTGGAATCTCCAAAGTCATTTGATATTTTAGGGCTGACTAAATATGAAGCCGAGCAAGGAGTTTGTGTGCTGGAGTGGTAGCCGAAAAAATGGAACACGCTCACCGCCAACGCAAGAGTGGCTGCAAAGCTCCCAAAGGAATTGGGGTTGGACTGGCTTGGAGGTCTTCTCCCCCGGAGAAGCCACGCATTTTGCTAGCTTCCTCCAAAACGAAAACCAGCTCTGGGCCAACTCTACATGTGCCCAGCCCCTCCCAGCCTGTGACACTTCAAATGGCACGCTGGACGGGTGAGTTGCACATATGTATCAAACTACAGGGACCGCAAGTTGGTTTTCCTTCGGTTTCCTCCTCCAAAAACGAAGTAAATAAACGCAGCAGCTCCACATGTTCGTTTGGGGCGCCAGGACAGGCGGCATTGGCGTGGTTGTGCTCCATCCGCATCCCCACATGGGAGGGAACATGCAGAACCCTTTGGTGGAGGCCCTCGAGGGTGAGAAGCAGAGTTTCCTACATGTCCTCTTGTTCGGAACCTCCAAAAGTGCCAGTCCCAGTGGAAACCACTCATGAATCGGATCTGAACATGAAATCCAGGGAGATTGAGCGTTTCAGTTGTCTGGTTGTTTTCTTCTTTGTTTTTCGGTGCTGGTTTCTTGTTGCTTTCCTCTTGCCCTTGTCCCCGCTTCGCCAGAAAGGCCTATGAGTTCCTTGTATGGATCGAGTGTTTCAGCGCTGACTGAACTCGGGGTCCGTTGCCAGAAGCACGGCACTGTTGCATCAGCTCAGCCGGGAAGAACGAGCCTACGGGCCAATAACTCTTCAGGCAACACGGGGCTCTAACATAGGGGATCCTGACAAATGCCAGGTTTCCCGCTGAATGCTTTCAGAAAAAGAACATTGTGATTTGTGTAAAACAAAAAATCTTAAAAATTGGCTTCTGAGGCCAAACACTCATTTTGAACAAAGGATCAAAGGCAAGGGTCGGGAGTGGAATTCACAAGCATCACCCGTTAAGCTTTCAAATGAGGGGCAGGGCTCTATACTGAATATGCTTCAAATTTTGAGGCCCACATTGATGAGCCAGGTCGTACTCGCCAGGTCATGCCGAAGCCAGTTTGAAGGGGGTGCTGGAATCCCGAAGCCCGTTAACAAGATGACATTTGTTTATATGATTTTCGTGTTTGTTCATTTTTTCTGGAAATTGGGGGTGGGATCCTGGCGGCTAACCCATAGAAACCCGCAGAAAGCCCGTAGCCCCAACCAAAACATTGTGGTTTTGGAAAACATCGTGCATTCAAAACCCGTAGCTAAAGCGTAGAATCCGTGGTAAAGCGTGGCAAACCGTGGAAATTCTATGGGTTTTTCGGGTTCAATCCCGGATGCGCTACTTCGAGAGTTTTGATGGAAGTCAACAAAGTCGTGGGCCAAAAAACGGTCATTGCTTGAGCTTGCACGGTTCGAAGCCAGCACGCCCTCATCCTGGCATTGCTGCTTGACAAGTGTCATAAAACTGGCAGCCTTTGTTCAAGGATCAAGGTGGTACTTTTGACTATTTAGGTCCCCGGCCTCCTTCTTTCAGATTGGAGTTGCGAATGACGAATGGCGAATGCGAAGCTGGTTTCGGCAGTCCAACAAGATGGCTCATTCCCCGTCAAAGAGTCAAAAGAGTCCGAACATTGAGAAGTGGGGCAGGGCCTTTTTCCATCCTAGGCTGCACTTGCAGTGCCTTCAGAATCTCAATCATCACAACCCTCGTGTTGGGGAAGGCCTGAAAAACACGAAAAACACAAAACAAAACAACAACATGCCCCTTTAGACCCGTTTCAGCCAAAGACGTGCAATTGTGGGCCTGCCTTCAATTATGGGGCGGGCCCTTTCTCCGACTTTCCATTGGGTTCTCCACCCTGGCTTCTATGAATGCTGGCTCGACGCAGTTGGGAACAGGCAATAAGAACTCTTTGGGGGCAACCACGACCCCCTTACAAGTTCTGGCGCCTTTTGGCACAGGCGATTCTCCGAGAACTCTGGAAGCAAGAAAGGGTCTCCGCAACCCTGCGCTTCGACTTCAGCCACGACCTCTTGCAGAGCGAGCAGGCGATCAGCTAATTTGGAACGTAGTAACTACCAGGGGCCAAGGGCCATTATCCTCGCACGGTTCCCCTTGTTCTGGATCCAAATTGTATTCAACTTCAGTTTTGGGATGCCCTCAACAAACAAGGCTGCTTGGAGCCTGTGACAGGTGGTCAAAACCCATTTTCAAAACACAAGGATGGACAATTGGTATGTGTCCTTTCGTTCCGCTTGCTTCAAATGTTCAATGACTGTAATCACGAGATTGGTCGCAGAACACCTATTTCCACCCATCCTTCTTCGCGCCTTCTTAAACATGGCCAGCCCTGTTTTTGTAGCTGCCCTGTTCCCGGGTGTTCTCTAAATGTGCCTTGGCCACGTTTTGCTTGGAGGAAGCCCTGGCGGCTGCCAAGCTGCTGAGAGGGCATGGCGTGGACACTCTGGCAGCTGTGGGGTACTCTTATGGTGCAGCCATCTTGATGCGATTGATGCCGCTTGGCATTGGCTGGAACGCGAAGATACCACGGAGACGATGCAACATGTGTTTGTGGAGGTCCTGCCAACCGGCCAACGGTTCCATTTAGCGAGGCGCTTCCAACGTGTGCCAACGGTCGTTGAGTTGTGGTTTGGGGGGCCTGCTTTTCGATCGCACTTGCCTAACCATTTTGTTCATTTGGCCAACTTGACATTTTGGAGCCTTGGGCCGTGGCCAGACCTGAGAACAGTTCTCGCTGACAACAAAGGATTTGTTTTTTGCAACATTCAGTTGCCCATGCTTTCCGTTTTCTATCACCAACGACCAAGTTGTCACAACAATACGGTTCTGTACGGTTCCGAGAGCTCTGGAACAACTTGCGAACGCTTTTTGAACGCCTTCCGAGGACATGCTTTTCGGGGCACCAGTGTACCAACAGAGATCATTTGCTTCAAATGTTCCATTTGGTGTTACAATCGCACAAACAAGGGGGTAGTAACTGGGTAGTAGGTAGTCCATGCCTCTCATTGGGAATGAAAAGGGCCAAAGCCGACTGGTCAACTCGACTATGTTTCCCCAAGAGGAAGGGCATGAACCAGGACTTGGCTGCCAATGAGAAGGTCACAGGGCATCATTCCCGTTGGAGTTGTCGGCCTGGTTTGATCAGTCTAACGAGTCCATGCCTGGGCACTAAGGACGCAGAAGCCTTGTCCATTCACGGCAGCAGCTTTGGTAGCTCCGCCTCTGGACAGCGGTGCCCAATCGCATGTTGGTGGCACCCCTTGAGTTGGGGTTGTGGACGGCTGCTTTTCAGGCCTCACCCTTCCAGGCAACCAGTTGATGGACAAATTCCTGCACCAATCGGGGATGAAACTCTATTTGCCCTGGGATAAGCCACCCAGGCTTCGTACTTGGGACCTGTTTTGTGGCTTGCTGCTAGGACCTGCTGCCGACGGCAGACCCATCTGCGCTGAAGCCTGCGTTGGACGCCGGCATGTCTGTGGCTTTAATCGCGGGCACTTGCCACTTTGGCTTAAACAGCTGCGCCTGGATGGTTCTAAAAGCAGACTACCATCCCACAGATTAACCTGGAACCCCAAAAATTGATCAAATATGCACATGTCCTGAAATATGTGTTCTTTTTCGTGGACACCATTGTTGCGTTCCATGTTTATATGTGCAAGGGTCTGGTTGAAAAGGGCGAGTGCCTTTTAGTTTCCCTCTGAAATCCAAAGAGTGTCCCCTCAGTTGACGGAACCCCTGTGTTCAGTCCAAATGGGTGCCCAAACGATGGACTTGTTTTTGTGCACTCTCGGCAACGGCGACGCATGAGGCCAGTTTGCCCAACCACGCCATTTTTGGGGGCAACCCTCCTTCAAACGACCGAAAGGTGGCGTTGGACCTTGGCCAAAAGATCGGAGCGTCCAACTTCACTTCCTGTCAAGGTTTGTTCTACTGCCATCCTAGGGTACGCCATTTACTCATTTACTTGGTCCGAGTGAGAGGCTGGGGCCGATTCCTTTGGTCCAACAACAAGTCCATGTCATCTTCAGCAGTTTCTTCCCTTTTCAATATAATCCGGCCATGTCGTGGGCGGGTGCATGCCGATTGGAAGCTGCCTGCCAATCTCAGTGCAATGCTATGGAATATCCGTTCACAGAGAGGGTGACGAGTGAGAGACCAGGCGTGGGTGGACTATCAAGTGGGTCGGAGCTAGGGCTGCTGGCACTTTAAGCATGTTCAGGCGTTAGCACAGTCCCTGCCCATTCGAAGCGTAGCTTAAAAGGCCTCCTCCTTCTGAAAAGGAGCAGTGAAGTCATATCAATGCCAAATGCCAAGGTGACAATGTGTGCAGCGAGCAAAGTTTACGCGAGCTGCACCAAAAGTACCTTGGCCTGGCATCCTGCTTGCTTCTACACAGTGAAGTGAATCGCAGGATGCGACTTGTTGCAAGACTCTCATGGTCCTTCCGCTCCTGTACCGCCTTCCTCTTGTGAAGGTCAGGCATGTCGTGCACCCGTTTGTTAAAGTTCATGCACACCTTCGGCCATTCACTATGGTGCACAGCCCAAAGAAACCCGGGCCTGCCAACATGGCGGCTGTTCTTTCATGATAAGTACTGTACCCAGACACCAAAGGCCAAAACACGCCCTCGCCTTTTTGGGGGGCAAAAAAAAGACAATGTTTTTTTTTGCTGCGGGCTGGGTTGCGGGGTGGGTCCCCCTTTTAAAGAGCCACGGGCCCCACATGGCCGTGCGCTTGGCGTGAGCGGCGTGTCAGGCTGAGCCGCACTCGCCTAGAGCTCCTGGAAGGCTGCGACCACTTCTTCGGCCAAGATTTGGCGCACGCGGCATCCTTGGCGGCGCAGGTATCGGCGGCGTCGAATGGGGGCAGCAGTTTTTTTTGTTTTCAAGGTGCTCCTCGGATTTCTTTGGGTTTTGAGGTTGATGGCTGGGTTTGAACAAAAGCTATGCAAATTATGTTGAGAGTGCGGGTTGCTGTTTTTTCTTCCCAGAAATTGCACTGTGAAATTTGGCTAGGGCCTAAAAAGCTTCCACCAGATTCGGGATTAGATTCGAACAGCTTTGTTGGAGCCTTTGCAATTCGGAGGTTGAACAAATCGTTTTTGGACGGGGATCGGGCAAAGTAATTGCGTTGTGCCTCCTCAAGCACTCCCCTTTGTGGGATTGTTTAGTTCTTGGCTTTTTGACTGGACCGATGCAAATAACATGAAGTTTGGTCTTTGTTTTTGTTTGCCGAAAGTCGTAGTTTTGCCTCTTCCTGCGTTTAAGTTCAAACAGTGGTGTTTGCTTTTGTGTGGAGTTTGTTGGGCTGATGTTTTTAACATGTTCTGTGTTTTTGTCTGGGGAGATTTCCTGGACCAAGGGGTCTATCAATCGTTCCCGGGAAACTTGGAGCCATTACTTCACGGGCGGTGGGGGGTTGCTAGTCCTGGACAGTGAGGAAAGCTGCCAACCTCATTGGGTCATATTTCCTAGGAGTTGCACGTCAAGCTGTCGAATGGAGTTTTGCTTATCCAGGCCAAATGGTTACCGGCCAAAATCAAGGCTTCAATTCAAGATGAACCCTTCACTCGAAACCTTCCCCGAATGCCAATGCCATCAATAGCAAGCCTGCCACACCAATGCCGGGATTCAAGTAATCCTACCCAGCCAACGGGTTCCACCTTTCCTGTCATTTCGGGCTCCTGGCGAGGATGTACATGGCCATTGGTAGGAAAGGTTTGGAAGTAGGACCCAGCTTCCAGATGGGAGGGATGAGTCGGGTATGTGTCAAAACACGGGGACATCAAAAGGCTCAGGCTCGAAGCGGGAAGCTTCACCGAAACACACCCATATCCCAGCCCCTGGCCAGGCCATCAGCGAGCCGCGGGCAGATCTTTAGACGAGGTCATGCTTCCATTGAGAAAAGAGGAACGCGGCGCGAGGCCACCCAATTGTATTGACTGGGTGCATAGGTGTATGGGTATCAAAACTTCCGTACCTAGGGAATCAGCCGAACGCAGGCTATGCCATATGCCAATCTTGCCGGCTGGGGATGCAATGATGCCAGCCCAATGAGTATTCAGGTTGAAGTCATGGTGCAGCATAGCTGGAGTGGGACTGAGATGATAAGTGGTCGCCAAATTCGACGAAAAATGAAGCAGTTCTGGGGACCAGCTGTCGACCACAGATCAACACCTTGCTTCCTGCTCCACAAGAGAGGCTTCCTACAGCTCCCATGCTGCTAGCTTTAGACAAGTGGGGCAATGTTTACAGAGGAGGCATGAGGGTACATGATTGACTCTCCTTTGCACAGCGGAATGAGCCATGCCCATGGCAAATGCCGATGTCATTGCTGTTAACACAAGTTGGACTCTTCCAATTAGTTGAGAATTTGGCCAGTCTGTACACCCGTGCTGACACGCGGCCTGGTGGTGTTTTGTTGCTCGTTCCTAGGATTGACGAGTTCATTTCGCACGTGAAATGGACCCATCGGGAAGTCCAGGTCTGCAGATGCAGGAAGGATTCACGGACTTACCTTAGGTCAGTGGCCAAACTTGTCAAGAAGCCATGGTCATGGCACATGTTTGTATACACGCAGTTGCCCAGTGGTGCCCTGTTTTCCCTTCTTCTTCTTCTTCTTCTTCTTCTTCTTCTTTGTTTGAAGGGTTTCCCCTTTGAAGTCAAGCAGCCAAACAAGGAGGCCCTTTTTCCCCCATGGCCACTGGGCATCTAAGTGCTGCCTGTCCGGATGGCCCAGGTGGCACCCTCCTCCCTGGTAGCCGTGGATGACGCCTCCGAAGCCTCCCGCAGGCCGCAGACAGGCGCAGACCGACGGGCGGTCCGAACATGGCCGGGAAGAGAGAGAGAGCGAGAGAGCGAGAAGAAAGTAGAAAGGGAGCAAAAGAGAGAAAGCGACAGCGCGAGACAGACAGAGACAGAGACAGAGACAGAGACAGAGACAGAGACAGAGACAGAGACAGAGACAGAGACAGACAGAGGCAGAGAGATGGAGAGAGACGGAGAGGCAGAGGAGACAGGTAGGTGAAAACGATGGCCCGGGGGGGGGGGGGTTGGAGCCGGAAAGCAAAGCTTGATGGAAGAGTGTGGCACGTGTCGGGGACGCACATGCGGCGCTTGCCAAACCAGATTGAAGCTCGCTATGTTGGTCGGTGTCGGGCCTTGAGAAACTAAAGACTCCTTTCAATGCACCTCCACCATTCGGAGGACAGAGCGTCCAATGCGAGCACCTCACAACCTGTGGTGTTGTTTTTGCACGACTGTCAAGATGCCCATGCCCCTCTACGAGCCACCCCCAGCCACCCCCACAGCACACGGGGAAGCCTTGCAGCCAGCCCAAATGACCTGCAAATGTTGCACAAAATGCTGCTCAAGCATTGCATGCCCCAAAGGCCCAGTTTCGTCGTTTCCTTTCTGCAGCTGGGGAATCTCAGTTTTCTCAGCACCACCTTTGGAATCACTGCTGCGTCATAGTACGGGTTTAACACTGACATACCTCAGCAATCTCCAGCACACCCAATTAGTTTGCACTGCCGTGCTGCAAAACAGCAAACAAACACAGGCAACCTTGAGCACGCTAGTGGCATGTCGCCAGCGTCGCTTGCGAGGCGTCACCGGGGCGCTCCTGCGCACCTTCGCGACCGAAGGCTTCGACAAGGCAATAGACGATGTCATGTTTGCTTGCCGACTCGTTCGGCGGGGAGGGGGGGAGACCGTGCCCACTATCAGAGCACCTGGTACACAACAACTGGCCATTTCCATAAGCAAATTGACCAGGGTTTGTCAAATGCAGGACCTTGGTAGGGTTGCATTGCGCTATGCACAGATAATTGTGCGTGTGTGTGTGTGTGCATATATATATATTATTATATGTAGGTTTGTCACATGTTTAAAGTCGATCTTGCCATCCTTTGGTTTGCCCGCGTTTTGATCCATCATTGGTTTTACATGTTCTTATACAGGTTGTTCGAGCAAGTCAGCCCCGCCGTGAGTGGAAGTAGCCGCGCACGCATCTTCGATTGGAGGAATGTTGCGGCGATTTTTTGAGTCAGGGGTTGGACCGCCAAGTCGCTTGCGAGGGTTACCATGAGTTTACTTTTGAGGAGCCGCGACTACCGCTCCCATACTCTCAAGAATTGGCATCCAGATGAAGAAGGCCCCTGCCTGACAAAGTTCCAATGGACATTTCTATTTTCTTGCATGCTGCGTGCAAACCACCTCTGTGGGGGCGGAAGCGGTCCTGGCCCCGGAATCTCCGCCGGAAACGGGACCAATTGGCGCACTGCTTCGCAACGTTTCCGGATTGACTCAGCTTGTGCAGTCACTGCCTCCTCTGCAGACTTTTGTGGGGCCGACCCTCAAAAGCTCAGTGCTCGGCTAGCTGACTATTTTCATATTAAGGCGAACTACCATGAAACTGACGAAAAAACTAGCTAGCAAGCTGACAATCGAAGAAGTAAAACAATCACAAGCAGTAAACTGCCGAGAGTTGACTTATTAAATAGGTGCGCAAATGGCTAGCAGACTGCCCAACTAGCTAGCTGGCTAACCTAGCTAACCAGCTAGCCTCGCTAAGCAGCTATGCAACTGGCCAACTCGCTTGCTCTCGAACTAGCTAACTTTCTAAGCAGCTTGGCCAGCTCAATAGCTAATTCGCAAAGGATCTGACTAGCTGGCTATGTTGCTTAAATTAGCTAGCTAGTTCGCCGACGAGCTGAAATTTTCCAGCAAACCAGCGAACTTGATGGCTTCCAAGCCAGCCAAACCAGCTAGCTAGCTAGCTAGCTAGGTGAGGAGGAAACTCGCCAAGCGTGCAAACAAGCGATTTAACCAGCAAACTAGCTAGGCTAGCTTAGCCAACGTTCGCTAAGCAGCTTGGCGAACTCGCGAACTGAGTAGCTAGCTTACTATTGATGTCACAGACACGGAATTCTTACTCCATCTTACTCCACAAGCGCGCCACACGAAGTGACAAGGGAACACCTCCATTGACACTGTTGCCCGTCGCTTCGGCGGCTTTTCTGCTTGTCTTGGGTTTCCCAGAAGCTTGGGCTGACGGAGTTGGCCAGGCGAGCTGCAGATTCACCAGCCGCAAGTCCTCCTTAGAGTGTTGCCTGCGGCCCCGGCCGGGTTTGGGCGACTGGGGTATGAAGCCCCTACACAAGTTTGAGCAACCCGGAGCAGCTTGAGTTTTGCTGGAAGCCCTTTACTATGTTGTCAGCTCAAACCATGTCTGAACGATGGACCAAGAGTGAAGGCAACCTTGGCAAACATCGCCTTGGGCAACGATGCAGTTTTCATGATCATTCTCGGACAGTCTATATATTCATGCTGTTTCTTCTCCTGTTTGTTGCTTCCGCGCCATGTTTTGGCGGGGCAGGGGAGCAACGCCTCCTTGCTGGAGAGGAAAGAGAAAGCTTGCACGTCCTTTGGAGTTGATGCAACACCGCTCGGTGAATTAAACTGGGCCCAGCTAAAGCAATCAGAATCCACCCACCACTCGTTTCAACTGGTATGTTTCCATTTCAAGGGCAGTGTTTGCTTTGCTTATTTGCTTAGTCCTTTGCTGCAGCAAAGCTGCGTGTACCTATGCAGTTTGCTTTTAAGATTCAGAGGAAGGCCTGGACACATGCCGAGCATTAAGTTGGCCGTGAGTCAAAGCGAACGTTGGCCAGGAGATTCGGCTGACATAGCAGTATACTGATTTGGGTTTTGGGCAGTCCTGGGGATCCAGTTCCGGAACTGGGCTTGGAATGTAAAGGACTATGCAAGTTTCCCTGGTAAAGGACTCAGCAAGTTCCAGTGTTAGCTAAACACCAGGGATTATCAGCTTCCAGGTTCAGATCTCTGCTGCTGTTGGGTTGGATCTTTAGACTTTAACTTTTTGGATTCCCCTCATATGTCCTTTTAACCAGCAAAAAGGTTGAGCTTGTTGCCGGGGATCTACAGCACCCACGAAATGCAATTGCCATGATAAAGTCATGTTGGCCAGACTGGTAAAGTCCCCAGTGGATGCTACATGGAGACAAATGACACGACTAGTTCGCATTGTTTCTATGCTTCCTTGCTCCCACCTGTACATTTCCATGTTTGTTGAATCAAGAGCCATATGTGTTGCTAGAATGATTGAGGCAGAGTGGGCGACTTCAGTCAGCGGTGGTTTGGAAGACTTGCAAAATAAAACGAAAAGCCAAGCAGCTTCCAACAAGACAACGGGCAAAGCCAACCCCTGACATGCGGGGATGACACCCCGTCCGGCTCCGCAAAACGCGAGGATCATCAGCAAGCAGATGTGAATTTCTTGTTTCGCTACGCGCTTCCTGGATTAGATGCCGAAACACCAAGCGAAGAGCTCGTCCCTTGCAGTCCGTTGAGGTGCCTTGCGACAGCCATCCGTTCTCGTCCACTGACCTCACGGGCGAGATCCCAGCGGGGATTAGTGTAAAAAGCACAGGTGTCCTTTTCGGGTTAGGTTGGTCAGAAATAGATCACACTGGCTTCGATCGGTTTGTCCCAATCCTCATATGGGCTGGTATCATACGGCCTATTGAGAGGCTTAGCGGCTTCCTAGGTTCTTTCCAGCAGAAGCCTTTGAGGTTTCCCTGGTTGCCGATCTTCGGGTTGCCTCTCTGAGTTTTCCCTTGGCCCCTTGGCCCCTTCGCTTTTTTTGAAAAAAAAATGGTCATGTACTGAGGCACCGGCCGGTCCTACGTTGCCCGGGCTCTCAGGAGGCCACCCGCTGCATGCGCTTCAGGCCCATGTCCTGAGCATTTGGCCGTTGCCGTTGCGGTCAGAGGAGGGAGTTCTCCACTGGCGAAATGTCCCAGAGGCCTATATGTTTGTTTGTCCCAAAAGAATCGCAAAAGGGGTTTGGCAAATGATGATTTTTCCAGGCCACCTTTTGAGCACCCACGTTTCTAGCCACATGATTTGCATATAGATGCCTCAATAAAACCGACCCCGCGAGGCCATGCACAAGGTTTGTTTTTTCTGGTGGAATCTCAGTTAGAACTTCAAAGTGCGCACTCACAGTGTCCAGCGATGCTTGCGTTGGCATTCAACCTGCGCAGCCTGTGGGGGCCAGTGTAGCCTGAATGCTTTCCTGGATGCAAGAACTATTGCCTGCTTCCAGAGCGTGCATTGGAACAAATTCTGAATTTATTTAATTTAAGCAAAGATATGTTGCCCTTCATTCATCCTTGCCGCCAGAAACTTTCTGACTTGGATTTCCGAAAAGAGAAGCCTGTCCCGTGCAAAGGTGAACTTCTCCAATCTTCGTCCCGGCACAGAGTACGAGGCAGGATGGTGGGGTTCGCAGTTTCATTGCCTTCGCTTTTTGGGGTTTATTGTTTTTTCTTCGCAGACTCTCGTGTGTATTCAATGAGTGCTGGATGTACTCCAAAAAAATGCGATGCGCGGGGATTTGTTCATTTGCTGTGAGACTGGCTTCATTGAGAATCACCAGAAGCCCTGGGCGACCAAGTAATGTGCAGCGGAAGATGTCACGCCATGGGATGTCGAACACACGCCCTTGGTGCCGAATAATGAACCCAAGCTGCGTGGCTCTTCTGAAAAAAAGAAAAAACACACACACACAAGCGGATTTAGACAGGGAATAGGTTGTTTTTTCCTTGGTCCGCTTTTATTCGCCTACAGATAGGGTTTGCACGGCTTAGTCGATACTACAGGCTGCTTTTTATTTCGGCTTGGGCCAAGTTTGGTAGTTGCGTGGCATGAGTTTTATGTTTCAACTGGCGAGGCGATAGAGAAACAAAGTGAAACCTCGCAGTCAGAACCCAGCCAATGCAACGCCATAGGCATTGAGGCCTAAGATTTTGAGAGATTACTCGCTTGTGGCAGCCAAGCGTTCATAGCAACGTTGCTATGTGATCCTCTGATGTGGGCTCCCATTGAGACATCCCCAAAGTGTCGGATTGGTTACTGGACAAGAGGTTTGGTTGTACCGCATTGCGCATTGTCCATTTCGGTAAGACTTGAAGCTCAGGGACGGCTTGCCCAAAATGAGTCAGATCTCTCTGAAGCCAAGAGCTTATGCCAGGTGCTCAAGATCACAGTCGCCTGGTTCTCCTTGGGTGCAACCGAAAGGGAGATGTGTGTCCACTGTGAATCTGGCCACTGGCTGTTGTTCTGTAGCCTTCGGTGGCAGGTGACGATAAAACTCCCTTGCTTCCGTTTAGTGATTCTTTGTCCCCGATCGGCTAAAACCATAATTTGCTATGACTGATAGAAGGGGCTTGCTTTAGAAACAAATATATATATATATATATACATATATATATATTATTATATATATATATATATATATTATTATATATATATATATATATATATGTATATATTATCTTGCAAGCATGACGTACAGTTTGCTTGAAGGCCCCCACAATCCCATGTTCTGAGTGTTTAGGCCCTTGTCGTACGAAACCCTTGTTTTTGATGGGTGTTTGGCCAATGTCCTGCGTGATTTCCTTGAAATTGGGGCGCCGGGCATTTGTTCTGAGATCACCTGGCGCTGCCGAAATGCCATGGGCCAAAGTCCCTTCTCCGGCCGGAATCCCAGAGTCCCAGCGAGCTTGGACAGGTGCTGCTTGAGCCGAGCTGCACCCCAAACAACCAATATGAGCAGCGCCCAAAAGATCTCTTGTCCCTTTTGGTAGGTGGTTCCTGGCATCATTAGTGCAAGTAAGGCTTAGGTAAGCCGTGATAAAACCGTGATAAAACCAAAAGTCAATGGGTGTGGGCACTGCTCGCATGGAACCCAAAGCCTATGAACTTGAATGGAGAGCCATGGAAAATGGTGGACATCAGTTTGCAGGGAAATGATTGCCACCCAAGGGTCTCCAAATAACAGTCAGACCCAACAGCCAAACGCCCTCATGTTTATAGGAAGCTCCGTTCGATTGCTTTTTGGGCCCATGTGTATTTGCAGGAGTGTGCGGACATTGAACGTTGTCGCTGTCGTTTTGCAGTTGCAATGTGGCAGGCACAGGCAATTTCTTTCCAGGATCTCCCCGTGAAATGAGACATATTTGCAATCCAGCATTGGTTCGGCCATGGAATCTTAAAAAACCGCAAGCTACTAGAGAAGCTCCAACAGTTCTTCTAGATCAGAGGAAGACCCCAACACCCCAAAGCTTTCTCATAGGAGTCTTGATCCATCGAAAGGAAGCTGGAGACTTTCAGGTAGATGCGTTGCTTCTCAAAAAGTTTGGCCACTGATCGGTACTGCATGCTGAATCCTAGGTGATTTGTTCCCTTATGGGTGCTCATCCCTCTGGTGGGCTGTTGAGCTTGCTGGCTTTCATATTTGTCAAGTGTGCCGAGGCGTTCGAAGGTCGTGAGCCTAAATTTCCCTTTTGACCCTTATTTGCAAGGTTAAATCTCCAAAAGATCCTCGCTTGTGGAGGTGTAAGACCAGAAGCTATACCCCTTTGCATTTCCACGACAGAATGGGTGTTTATATACACAGTTTCATGGCTAGAAAACTGGGATCCAGGAGGGTGCGTTGGGATCGTCATGTTGTAGATTTGTGTTTGGGGTGCATCTTTTTTAAGAGGATACCCTCCCACCAGCTAACATGGAAGTGCACAGACCCCTGTAGAAAGACGACTTTCCTCTTGGAAAGGGCCGTTTTGCACTTCCATGTTAGTTGGTGGGAGGGCATCCTATTTTGTAGGGAAATCCATTAGTCCCGAAGGGTACGGCTGGCGCTCCCGAAGCTGAGGCGCCCTGTTGGTCAAGACAGATCCGGCAGCCCCAGATCAGCCAGCGGCTCAGATCTTGACCATTGCGCGATGGGGAAAGAGTTACAACAAACTTTGAGGATCCACTTGGATATGGTGTGCTTGCGCATGATTGCGCATTTATGGGACCCTTACATCATGCTCGTGTTCTTGGAGGTTAATCAATTGTGCACCCACGTTGCAAAACGAGCTCATGACAAAGGCGCCTTACTTGGATTAAGGCTCCCCCATTTCAGATCGCAATGCGGACAATGTTCTTGAGGCCACCTCCTATTGCGGTCGAAAGTCTTTGAGGCGCGAAGAAGAGAATCGGGCGGGGCTGATTGGGCCCGTCCCTGTATGCAGTACCGGTCGTTTGCTTTGGTCGGTCTAAGTCAGAACTTGAACACGGTTCCAGCCAGATTCAAGCCAGAGACTCTGGTCTTCAATCAAGTCCTACTGCTTGCTTAATGCGTAGTGGATAAAACGATATGGAGGCTGTACACCCTGTCGACGCAAATGAAGCTATGGAAGCGTATGTAAGCTCTCTTAGCTCCGATCCCAGATATGAAAAGGCCACTACATTGATGAGTTAGGCAGGTTGGTGCTTCGTTCGATTAGGTCTTCTTTTGCTGCGGGTAAGCATGCTCACAAGCCAGGTGGCTCAATTCCGGCAGAGATCCTTCTCAGCCATGCAATTGGCATCTTGTTTTTTGCCTAGAGCAAATCGTCATGCTTCATTACACTTGCCATGCTGCGTGCAGGTGCTTGATGAGCCACTGCCAGTGGAGCTTGATTGTTTATAGGACGACATTTCGAATTGCAGTCCATCGTGCGTTTGCGCGATGGTGCGCCGCGGTTCTGCCTCTGGCGTGTTTGTTTCGCTTTTGGGGAGAATGACGAGAAAGTCTCTGACCTTATGTGGGTAGTGGATCTCCAAAAATGTTGTTTTGTTCTTCTTTTTTCTGGTTTCCCGTTCAATCAGCCCAACAAAGAGTACCCAACGAAAAGCAGCACGCCGTGAGCAAGCGCAGCGGGCGACGCTGCGACGCGCGTGGCGCAGCTGCTGGGCAAATTGTGTGGCATGTGCTTCACAGGTTGTTTTAGGCGAAGCAAACCTACAGACAAGAAGAAGGTGTTTTTTTCTTCGAGCTAATTTTGAGATTGGTTTACTTTGGCAGCTTTATTTGAGATCAGATGGCCCCGAGCTCAGTTTTGACAAGATGGCTGAAGGGGGTGAAATTGAAGGTGTTGGCTCCCCCCCCAAAAAATAAAGAAAAGAAAAAAGACGGGCACTTTTTGAAGGTCCACCCTTTCAGATTCTAGTGCCCATGTGTTGTTTTGGCTGCTGTTGAGTATCTTTAAACGTTGGCTTTTGGAGCAGTGTCTCTGTGCCTTACAAACCAGAAGGCTTGTGTTCTTCATGCGGGGGGTTCTGGGCTCCCAGGGGCCACGTTGCGAGTGCCCGCCCGAAACGCCCAGCCGGCATAAGCCGCAAGCCGTGCTCGTTGGCATGGGCCCCGTTTTTGTCGTCCTGCGCGAGGCCCAGGGGGAGGCAGGTGGCATCAGGCGGCTTAAGTGAAGTTCAGCTCTGCAAGTGCGCCCCAACACTCAATATGCTGGCACCCCAGTAAGCGGAAAATGCGGTTGGCGCACGTAGGGGACGCAATATGCCTCTGACAATGCGGCCCTTCTCCATATGTATTCCCTTTGTGCAAGAATGTAGAGATCCTGTGGAGGGGGGTTCCCAATTCGTGGGGATTTGTTTTTTGTTCCACTGGAAACGGAGGAAGTCCTGCACTTGGCGTCCCCCGAGCGGTCCAAGACCAGAGGGCCTCAGCATTTCCTCCAAGAGGAGAGCAAAATTAGGTAGGAGCGGCACGCCGGGCCAAGCTTTGGGCAAATTCAGCTTCCTTTGGTTCTTATTCCGCAGGGGTGTATAGTCAGGTACCCCCCAGTTGGTCGCTTAGATTGGTTGTTTGGGTTTTTAACCCCGGGTTCTTGTCGAGGGTAAACGGAGTTGTCTACACCAAACCATAAATCCAAACCACAAACTCGAGGGAAGCTATAGGAAGCCTTGGCATCATTCCGGTTGGAACAAACTACGCCCATGCCTTGGCCAGTGGGTGCCCCGGGATCGAAAGACGTGTTCCTGGGATTAAAAAAGCCGCGCGGGAGAGGCACTTTCAAAGCTGGGATTCGAACTGGAAGGAGTTGGTGAGGCAAAGTATTGGCTCGAGGTGAAGCTGTAGACGCGCATTGTGATTTGGCTAGCATTTAGTTTTGCTGGGTGTTAGCGTCCTTTTTGACATGTCTCTGCTTGCCCAAAAGACAATTGGAGGGTGATTCAAAGAAAGCATCGATCACAACATTCTTCTGCATCGAATCGATCTAGGACACGACAACGCCAGTATGCAGTATGCAGCCAGTCCAGTCCAGTTGCGATGTTTCGTGACAAAGACGCGGTTTCGAGTGCCATTTTGAGAATATGTATTCGTGTGAATGCATGTGCAGTCACAGTTGAGGGGGCTGCGAGGAAATGTTGTTGCACCATGTTGCGCACACCACCGAAGCCGCTTGTCTCTGAGACAGACAGGCCTACTGCTGCATGCACATCCCGTGGCACATTGATTCCACGTGGAATTCTGCTCCAGTGGTTCAGGTAAGCATGCCCATTTCAGCCACCAAAATGACGACAGAACTTCGCCCGCACCTTTCGCATGCTGTTGCCCACCTGCCCGGGTCGGAGCTTGAGCCTGCTCTCACGGGGCGTCGGTGTGGGCGTCTCACGGGCCGCGCCTTGGACCAAAGGGGCAGAGACCCTGGAAGGGAAGGGCTACCTGGAGTCTCCATGACCCTTTTAAAAAGGGTCAATGACCCCATTATTTTGGGTAATGAATGCATTTTTAAAGGTCATGGAGACTTGAGGTACTGATTTCCTTGGGGGTTTAAACATTACCATTACCTTGCGCTGCCAAGAATGGCTCATCGTTTTGCCTTTTTCTCTTTTTGGCGTCCTCAATTTTCCCTTTGAACCGAACAGGTTTTCAGTTGCGGGTCAGATCAGTCTGGCGCAGCTGGGGTTTAAAGGAGACATGTAAGGAACCTTGAGCCAGAGACTGCTTGCAGGGATCTTGGAGCACAGCACTTGTTGGTAGCAAGCCAAGCAACTATGCTTGCTTGATGGTACTTGCCTTGTTTAGGCTACGAAATGATCAATCCATAGATGGATCACAGGATGCTACTTGTACTTGTAGGCAACAGTGGAGTTCAGTCCTGGTTTGGCTGCTTCAATGGGCCACAGTCAGATTTCCCGTGAAGCCTCGCGCATGGGGGGTCTCCGGCTGAGACTAGCATGCGCCATGGCGGGGAAGAACGACTTGTTGGTCAGAAACGTTGGTCAACGGCGGCATGTGCCGCCTTTGTCAGAGAGGTCCTGGGCCAAGAGTGCTCCCAATTTGGGACTTGCGGGATAGCACTAGAGAGAGAGAGAGAACGCCCGCATAGGCGGGCTGGCAGAATCGTGTCTTTTTTGTTTGACCTCCCCTTTCCCAGCCAAGCAGGCATGATTCCAGAACTCGGGGCCGCAGAGGGAAGGCCACACATATTTGTGTTTTGTTCACGTGTTGTTTCATCATGTGGCAAAGCGGCCGAATGGCCGTTTGGCTCAAGTTTAACCTCCCGTCAGGTTAGTTTTGGTAGCACGGCACTCGCCATAGCACGGCATCTCGCTGCGTCGCCGAGAAAGGACTCTCGGCGCTGGGGTGGGCTGGTGCTAGGAGGTAGGTGGTGCTGCGGCAGGACTTGCCTGGGCCTGGTTAAGGTGATCTTTTGCAACTTGCTGTTTAACCTTCACTTCAACCACCTCTTCCTCAATCATCACGTCCTTCAACCTGGTCACCGGCTTCAGTCCACTGAGTCGTGAGTCCGGGTTCTTTGGGTTCTTCGTGGATTACGTGAACCCTTTTTGATTCCCTGGGCAACGCCCTTTCCGCCCAAAACCGCAGGTTATCAGCCGTACCAGCTAGAAGCTGGGGCTGGTGATCCGGTTGCGGGACGTGACCCGCTACCTGCTCCCATCGCCTACTTGTACGAGCAATGGCGTCCCCCGGAGCTTCTCATCGTGGGCCGGGCTTCGTGGACGACGAGGCCAACGCCCTTCGCGGCAACGCCGCGCCTGCTGCTTCCGGCTTAGACAGCCGGCTGTGGCCCATTCCCCCGATGGTGGGCGCAGAGCCCAATCCCGGGGTGATCACGGACGATTGGATCCTTTCTCAGGTTGTGTTTGATGAGGATGCGGAGGCCCCTATCCCGGCGGCAGTGCTCCAGATCGAGGACGGACCCCCTCTAGAAGAGGCTGAGGTTCCTCCAAATCAGGTGCCCTCATCGATTTCGCCTACTGTTCCGTTCGTGGCGCTCCAGATCGAGGACCGGGCTATCCATCATGCTGCTCATCCGGAGACGGCTCAATCATGGTCCCTTACATGGGATCAGTTTGACCAACTCCTCGGCAGTGGATCGCAGGCTAAACCGCCTGATTTCGGTCGGCTCGACTTTAACTCGGGTGCCCCCGTTTCGGTTGGGAATCTGGATTTTCAATCCCTTTGTGATGCTGATTGGAGGTCTCAGCCTTCCCGAATTGACAGATCCTTTGATGTTTTGCCGTCGCATGAGCCTACTCAGGGTTTTCCTCATGATGGAGAAAATGACCCCATTGAAGATTTCTCCCCTTCTCATGTTGCAGGTTCGGCCCAACCCGAGGTGGGCAAACGGGCGATTGAGGATTGGCCGCAAATAGCTGGCCCTCCTCCCGTCTCAGGTTCATCCGACATTGACATCATTCACGATCACCCCAGTCCGGCGGATATGGACTTCATCCCTGATGCAGTATCATCTCACCTGTCAGGTACCCGTGACCGGAATGCGGACCGCTACAACGCTGGTCCGAATCCACCGCTTTCCTCAGGTACCCGAGGTCGGGATGCGAACCGCTACAACGCGGGCTCAAATCCGCCGAATCGGACATCAGGTACTAATCGATCGGATGTGGGCCGCGAAACAGCAGGCCCAAATCCTTCCTCCTCTTCGTCAAGAAGCCATGCCGGTCTCTTCGCGGCGTTCAATCGGCGTCAGACTCGAAAAGAGTCCGCCCCCGACGTCATCGACCTCGAGGAGCAGTCCAGCCACCGTACCAGCGATGGATCCGAGCAGGATACACCTGGTATTGGCTCTACTCCATTTGACCTCCTCGACATCCCCTTCCATCAGCCACCCAGGAGAGGAAATGAAGATGATGAAACCATTCCTGGGATCCTTGATGTAATCGATGAGGCCGAGGTCACACCAGAGAGACGAACTACATCGCTCCCGCCGAGCCGCGTTGCCAAAGTACTTTCCCCTAAGCCACTCAATGGTGACGTTGCTCAACGGCTTGATCTTACTCAGCCTAATCCAGATCAAGCTCAACTTCGCGGATCATCATCATTTGATAATGTGTCGGGACAAACCGGCACTGACTCACGAGCCACAAAGAGGAGCTCTGAGTCACCCGAGAGACGTGAAGCTGCTCTCCGACTGCGATCTAATCCCCCAGCTCATCACGACCCTATTGACGTTCCTATCCACTCTGCGGGGTCTGGGCTCAGCTCCAATGCCCCGATGTCCGAGAAGGAGACTGATGACGGGATTAACTCTACGCCTAGGAACCGGAGGCCTGGACTTAGCGCCGTTGCCCCTGGATATGGAGGGCTTCCTTCGAATCAACCGGTTAACGACTCCCTCGTTCCCGCATTCTTTCAAATCGGAACTCCTGGCTGCACTCCTGACAGGGAAGAAAATAGTCGCGGAGATCATGACGCTGATAGCCGTCCTGCTCCGTCTGCCTCCACAAGTGGCG